ATACATTATTATTAGTATATATATTTTTAGATTAATAACAACAACTTTATACAGAAAAACACAAACTTTGTGGTTCGGAGCGTCTCCATCCAGGTTCGGGTCCTTGTTGCGAGTCACCAGCACCGGCAGAAGGCAGTAGATTGCGCAGTCATCTCCAGAATGTGTGAACCCGTCCAACAGCACAAACTACTACCTCAGCCGGCGCCTGGTGCTGGTACCAGCTTCAAGTCCTCCTGGTTTGGATCTGGAGCTGCGTGTCCGTGCGTAAAGGCGCACTGAAAATAAAGGACAAAAACGCTGCAGGTAGAAAATAAAATAGAACAAATACATGAAAATACACTTTTTACTGAAATAAAACTTCAATTTCTAAGCGCTGTGGAAGAAAAAGAGAACAAAAGTGAGCTGCGTCTGTCTTCACCCAAAATACACTTCGAAACGTAAAAAGGTCCTTGAAGCCATTGTGGTTTTTAATTTTTATTATTTTTTTGCTCCCAGTTGTTGTCAGCAGTCAGGTGTCGGTGCAAATGAGCCGATGTGTCCAGGATCAGATTCGCGCAGGAGCACTGGAGAAAACGCAGAGCTGCGCTCACAGAACATCAAACCGCTCGAGTGCGCCCCCTGCTGGTCAGTTTTATGGGAAACTGGTGGAGAAAGGTGCCGATTCCAGTCATAAGTTCGATATTTAATAAAGTGTTTGCTATGTCTTTAAATCATTGTATTACATGGTAAATAAATAAATTTAATTAAACAAATAAAAATAAAATATTGTAATTTTTCAGGGCTGTCTGGAGTTGTAGGAAAAGAGGTATAGTACATTTAGTAGAATGATCCCTAAAGAGGAAATTTTAATGTTGGCGTTATTTATCAATTCTAAAACTACCGAACACACCTCATAATAAATGTTGATCTAAATATTAGTCACAAATCCCATTCTGTCTCACGCGTTCGTCTCATTTTTAATTGGCAGTTTTTCAGTTGTCCACAGGAGGGCGCTGTGTCTCCTTTACAGCATGAAGGGATCGAGCAGCGGCTGTTGTCGCTTTGCTAAAGCTAAAACGCAGCACGACAGTGGCCCTTTTACCATTGCTAATTAAAGAAGCGAGTGGAGAAATATTTGTTACATATATGTCAGCTACTGCAAATTATTATTTTTGACATAGCGCATGAAAAATACGTTTTTTACGTGAGTAATGACTGGTTGCAATGCACTAAAGTGTCCACAAGATGGCGACATAATCTCTTATGGGTGAATATGCGGTTAAGAGCTCCTTTGAGAAAAATAGACCTATTTTAAACCTAGTTAAATTAAACTTCACTTTTATAAGATTTATTTAAGCTTCCTTGGTTAATAAATTGTGCAAATTTATTTAAAGTGACAGCCTATTTCAAACTATTGCTGTTTGTAGAAAAAGTCTCATAAATAGTCAAATATGAAGTGACAACAAACTAATAAGGTTTAGTAAAAAGGAACCACAGGAAGCTTTACACAACTTTATTGTAGATTGTGTATAAATACACATGCACATTTCAAATGTAAACCCAAGTGAACTTAAGTGCAGTCAAACCTCAAATCCCCAATACATCATCATGCAAGGACGCCTGAATTATTTCTTTTACAAAAAAAAAAAAAAAAATCCCAAAACAAGAGATTCATCCTTTTTTTTCCCCCTAAAAAAATATTCCCACCCTGACAAGACTTTGCGACTAGTGTTTTCTGTCCAGACGTTTGGGGTCTTGCCAAGGTTTTTTTTTTAATATACTGTTTATTATTAAATGCTTACATATAAATAAATAAACTTTATCAAATGTGCACTCACAGAGTGAACTCGTCTGTACAATATTGTATCATCTTAAAGTAGCAATCACGTCTCGATCGGTCAAGATGGAAGAGGGGGGGGTGTTGAGTCGACCTGAAGAAGAAAATTTTTTAAAAAAAGCACGGCGGCTGAGCTGACGAAGCACAAAGATGCTCATGAAGGCATCGCATGTTCGGAGGCAACAAGTATGTTGTTTACAGTGGAGCCGACAGGGAGGAAAAAAAAACAACAGTTTCAGAACGAGCTAAAGATTCAGTTCAGTAACGCCCGACTCAGAGAGCAGGATTACAAAATAAAAACTCATCCTGTGAAAACACAGCCAGAACCGAAGGCGAGCAACCTGTTTTCAGAAAAAAGAAAAAGAAGAAGAAGGGGGTCGTATTAAAAAAAAAGGCATCGTTAGTCACATACATGTGGTCTGTGTTCATTCCGTACATTCTGGCCCTGATGTGAGACAAAAACCTTTCAGACATTCGTACACAAAGCCTGTGAGGCCGTGAGCGACGCCGTGCAAAGAAAAGGCGACGATGTCAAGAGTTTAAGGCCGAGGTGATTTTTAAAAGATGAAACAAACAAAACAAAAAATAATAAATAAATAAAACAAATGTTGCGCCTTGAATTGAAAACATTGTAAAGCTTTAGACGGCTGCCAGGTTCGAATGATTAACTAAAACATTTATTTTTAACTCATTTTTGTAACTAAAACAAGTTCACCCAGCAGGTTAAACTCTGCTTCTTTTTGTGTTTTTAATAGGAGTTACGTCGTCCAAAAACAGCAGCAGCTAAAACCACATGACTCTGCGTCATGTCTTTTCCTAAAGATGCGTCTTAAAGCTGCTTCAGGAGAGAAAACTGCAGTTAGTCTGGCATAAAACATAAAAAAAAAAGTAGTGGATGGTTGGTGATTGTGCAAGTTCAAAACATTTCAGCGCATCACGAGAATTCAGTGATTTTAAAAGTATTTACAAAATCTAAATAATACTTAAACTGATATGCAGACAATGACTGTTGAGAACTGAGAGTTTAAAAAAAGCCGACTCACAGATCGGCCCGCGACACACACTCCGCACACACACACACACACACACGCACACTGTGATCCACCCACAGGAGGGTCCTGACTCCTCAGACGCGTACCCCGGCGGCTCGGCCCGTGGAGCGGCTGAGTCCAAAGCGCCGGCTGGGCCCGGTGGCACCTGCTGCCACGCTCTGACCGTATGGCTTTGGATGGAGAGATCCCCATTCTCCGTTTGTCGCCCGGCCGCCTCAGTTGGTTTTCATGGTTACGTCCCGACTGGATGCCCGCTCCTCTTCGTCCTCCTCCTCCTCCTCCTCCTCCTCCTCCTCCTGGTCGTTCTTCCGGCTCCCGTTCTCATTTAGCTCCTCCTCCTCGTCGTCGCTTTGGGCGGCGGCGCCCTGAGCGGACGAGACGGTCTTTCTGTCCTGCAGCTCCTCTGCCTCGTTTTCCTCCTCACCTTCCTCCTCCTCTTCTTCCTCCTCCTCCTCCTCATCACGGTCGAGAGCAAAGTAGCCGGTGCCTTTCACCGTGTCTTGGCGCTGGTAGAACAACACGTAGCCAGCTTTCGACTACGGACAGAAAGAAAGAAACAACTGACTTTTAATCCTTTAAAATGCGTTTTATTTCTAATAAACGCAAACAAAAATTTAAATATGCTCCGGCAGTGACCACGGCGGGTCCACAAAACACCTACATTAATAAAATCATGAGGAAACAAACATTTTCATTGAGAAGGATTTTAATGAAGAAGGAAATATTGCTGATGGATCTGTGGTGACTCACCACGATCTGATCCTCGCTGGCAGGAGACACGCTGCTGTCGTCGAAGTTGTACCACTTCCCGTCGTCCTTGTTCTTAGCGTACGCCGTATCTAAAAACAAACAATACAAAATATATTTAAAGACACGACCCTGTTTTGCTACGGACAGGGTTCCTACAGTTTGAAGCAAGTTCAATTTAAGGCTTTTTAATGCCGACTGAAATTAAACTTAAGAACAATTTAATAATAAAAACAAATGGCAAAAAATAAAACTGTAGCAGAAACTCATGAGTCCAAGTATTTTTGGTTGAAGTATTCAAATATTGCTAACAGACCAACTGCTTTTCCGTCAAATATAGCAAAAACATTCTTAGCGGTCAGTTTAACGACCCAAAATGTGGAGTTTCAGGACCCACAGTGGGGTCTTAACCCCGATTTGCTGTAGAAGAAACCTTAAAGTGCCCGTGATATCAAAATTTCTAAGAAAAGTTAATGCATTTTTGAAAAGACAACGTTATTAACATAATACAAACGAATTTCACGTCACTCAGATGAACGGTTGTTGAGATATTTGCATGTGAAATAACAGGAAGTGATGTCAAAGGGGAATGTCAGCATGTAAATATTTAAAAACAATAATGTTACCAATTATTTTTATATTTGAGATGAATTACAAGCATCCTATTTACAATGTGTTAACATTTTTAAGACTTCTGACTGATTTAAGACATTTTAAGGTTAATTAAGGCCTTATTTTTGGATTGATGAATTCAATGCTTTTTAAGACTTTTTAAGGATCTGCAGGAACCCTGTGAGGAGTGCACAGAAATAAAATAAATAATCTTCCCCTTTATAATAAACCCACACTAACTCCTACTGTTCTGGTTTTATTGTAAAAATAATTATTTATTTATTTCTATCAGGGGAAATAAGACTTTCCAAGTTTCAGGAGAGGAAAACCGGTAAGGAACGACACACCTGTGACATGCATATTCTACAAATACAAAAAGTCAAAGAAAGCATCTTTATACTTAAGAAAATTGGCATAGTACACGTGATTTTACCCATTTTGTCACATAACCTATTTTCTTTTAAATTTGACTCAGGCAAAGCAAAACAGGAAGTGACATCAAAGGGGAACTCATTAATAAAATAAACTCGCTGGTTTCCGTTTATTAAAACAAAATTATTTAAACTTAAACTCTTTTTCGTCTCTCTTTGATAGTGACTAAAAATAATCTAAAGAAACATCCGATTCTTCTGGGTTAGCTTTTGTATCAACGCTCTGTTTACATGCTGACATTTCCCTGTGACATCACTTCCTGTTTCTTCACATGTAAATATCTCAACAACCGTTCATCTCAGCAACATGAAATGTATTTTGCATTATGTTAGTGTTTTCTTTCCAAAACTGCATTAATGTTTATTGCAAAAATTTGACGTCACAGGCACTTTAAGCTCATTTGTTTGCAGTTTAGAGCGCACGAAACCAAGTGGGACGGTGGTGCGGCGTGCGACGAAGCCTTACAGTGGCCTCCTCCCATCCCGCCGTAGTGGTTGGACACGGCGATGAGGTCGTAGCGACACGGCCCGGCGTTGGGGTTGATCAGGAACTCGGACATGTCCAGATCTCTACAGAGACAAAAATAAATAAATAAAACGTGATAAAACCTGAACGGTCCTAAAGTTATTTACTTCTCTAACGCTGCACCTGAGAGGAAAGTCCACCAGCGAGTCCAGCTTGTCCCTCATGTAGCGACTGTAAGAGAAGCGTTTCAGGTGGACCACCAGAACCGGAGGTAAGGACCACAGGTCCAGCTTCTTGGTTGCTTGTTGGTGCTGCTTGCAGTTTGGACAGTACCTGTCAGGTGAAACACGTTTAGGTTTAGGTCAGGGGTCTGCAACCTTTACGGTAAAAAGAGACATTTCTGCTCTTTGGCTCTTTTTTTCAAACGTGTCCCGACAAAAAACATGCTACAACTGTGAGTATCAACTGGTGGCCCGTGGGCCGGTTTGAGTTCATTGAAGAGAGGCTTTTCTGGCCAGCAGAGTTGACATTTTAAGACTAAAAACATTCAGCAATTTTTGTTGTTTTGTTAATTATTTTCATACTTCACAACTAAAGAAAAACATATTCATGTAAACAAGAAAAATACTGTATATAAACCAAATTTAAAGTACCTGTGACGTCAAATTTTTGTAATATATATGAATGCAGTTTTAGAAAGATAACATTGATAAAATATTGCAAAAGACATTTCATGTCGCTGAGATGAACAGTTGTTGAGATATTTGCCTGTGAAGTAACAGGAAGTGATGTCAAAGGGGAATGTCTGCATGTGAACAGAGCATTGCTACAACAGCTAACAACCCAGACTGTAGAGAAGAATCTGATGTTTTTTTAGATTATTTAGAGTTAAGAGTTTAAATAATAATGTTTCAATAAACACAGACCAGGGAGTTTTCTTTGATAAGAAATGTCTGATGTCACTTCCTGTTTCACTTTGGCTGAGCCCAGTTCAAAAGAAAATATGTCAGTTATGGGACAAAATTGGTTAAATCGTGTGTATTATTCCAACTTTCTTAAATATAAAGATGTTTTCTTTGAAGAATAAGCGTCACAGACACTAATAAAAACTACAACTGAACTATGTAATTATATATATATATATATATATATATATATTCCTTTATTCTCATTATCGTCTAATCTAGTCTTAAAGGTAACACTGCTTTAGGAGAGAAAGATCAAACTTCAAGGCTGGCTAACAGGCTGCTAGCATGATTTAATCAATATGTTTCACTCTTTTATTATTGGTCACATATTTGCAAACATATTGACAGAAAAACTGCTAAAGCTAACCCAAAAAATATATATCTCATGTTAGCTTTGGTCAAAGCTTCAAAGAGCCACAGGTTGCAGAACCCTGAACATTTATTTTTAAATTACTTTGCACATTTTTATTTTCTCTTGTGTATAGTCATTTTGTTTTTAACTAAATTATTGTTTCTAGAAAAAGAATGGTGAAAAGATGAGGTTTTATTTTTACCAGGGGTCCTCGGCTCCCAGCTTCTCCTTGGTGGTGAACAGCTCGATGCAGTCCTTCAGCTTGAAGAAAGCCTTCTTCTGAGGCTTGTACTCCATGCTTTCATGCTTCTCAAAGTCCTGCACGGAGTTCATATTTAATGAAATTAAATCGTGTTGCAAATATCTGAAACATCTACAAAAAAACGTTGTTTTACCTCAACGACTGTTTCGTCGAAATACTTCTTCTTGATCTCTGGCTCCCAGTCCAAAGAGAGATAGGAGCGGTCTGTAAGATAAACCTGGTAATAAATCTACAACTTTAGCGAAGCAGCATCATCCTCATCAGAACTCACCGCTCAGTCTGAGGTGAGCCTCGTCGAAGCGGATCAGCTTGGTGTCCTCCTTGATGAGGGAGAAGTCCGTCTTGCCCATGTTGTTGAACTGGAATGTGAAGAGTCTCCTCCGGTTGTGGCCGGACGTCTGCTGTGCTTTAGTGGAGCTCGGCGGGGCCACCACGCCGTTCTCCAGCTCGTTGTCTCCGCCCACCGACTCCTCCGACTGGCTGTTCTCGTTCTCCGACGGCAGCTCCTGGTCCTGGCTGGACTCGTCGTCCTGCTCGTCTGTCTCCATCTCGCCTGAGAGTCACGACCGGCTTTCAGGAAAAGACGTCGGCCTTTCTTTCTTTTTTTTTTTTTTTCAATAAAAACTGAGGTTTAGCGTTTTGCACTCACTGGGCGAGCCCTCCTCCAGCAGCCCGTTGGTGGCGTTTCCGTTCACAGTGTGATGTTTGGACGGCTGCGTCTCTTCGCCCTCCTCCTCGTCCTCCTCTACGGACGATCGCACAAACCGGCTGCAAACAAAAACACAAAGTTGTAAAGTAACTAAGTACAAATACTTTGTTACTGTACTTAAGTAGAATTTTTGGGTATCTGTACTTTACTTGAGTAATTATTTTTCAGCCTACTTTTTACTTCTACTCCTTACATTTTTAAATAAGGCAAGAAGTTGAAAGTCGTTACTTTTATTTAATTTTAATAATTTTCTCCTAGATAGAGTGAATTTAATTGTGGTTGAATGAGAAGTGTGTGTGTGTGTGTGTGTGTGTGTGTGTGTGTGTATATATATACAGTGGTTTGCAAAAGTATTCATACCCCTTGAACTTTTCCATATTTTGTCACATTACAACCACAAACATAAATAT